GGGAGAATATATTCATAAATGAGAGATCCGATAAAGGATTGACATCCAAAATATATAAAGAGCTCACACACCTCAACAAACAAAAAGCAAATAATCCAATTAAAAAATGGGCAGAGGAGCTGAATAGACAGTTCTCTAAAGAAGAAATCCAGATGGCCAACAGGCACATGAAAAGATGCTCCACATCGCTAATCATCAGAGAAATGCAAATTAAAACCACAAGGAGACCAGTGAGGATTGCCATCATCAAAAAGACAAACAACAACAAATGTTGGCGAGGTTGTGGAGAAAGGGGAACCCTCCTACACTGCTGGTGGAAATGTAAATTAGTTCAACCATTGTGGAAAGCAGTATGGAGGTTCCTCAGAATGTTCAAAATAGAAATAACATTTGACCCAGGAATTCCACTCCTAGGAATTTACCCTAAGAATGCAGCAGCCCAGTTTGAAAAAGACATATGCACCCCTATGTTTATCGCAGCACTATTTACAATAGCCAGGAAATTATAGCAACCTAATTATCCAGTAGATGAATGGATAAAGATGTGTACATATACACAATAGAGTATCATTCAGCCATAAGAAGAAAACAAATCCTACCATTTGCAACATGGATGGAGTTAGAGGGTATTATGCTCAGTAAAATAAGCCAGGTGGAGAAAGACAAGTACCAAATAATTTCACTCATCTGTGGAGCATAAGAACAAAGCAAAAACTGAAGGAACAAAACAGCAGCAGACTCACAGAAACCAAGAATGGACTTACGCGTTGCCAAAGGGAAAGGGACTGAGGAGGGTGGGTAGGAAGGGAGGGAGAAGGGGCATAAGGGGCATTACGATTAGCACACATAATGTAGCGGGGGCACAGGAAAGGCAGTATAGCACAGAGAAGTTAAGTAGTGACTCTTACTATGCTGATGTACAGTGACTGTAATGGGGTATGTGGTAGGGACTTGATAATGGGGGAAATCTAGTAACTACAATGTTGCTCATGTGATTGTATATTAATGATACCAAAAAAAAAACAGACAAGGAATAAACTTATAGTAATGCACAAAGATTTGGTTAAACACAAGAACTAGTCAGAAGACTTAGGTGATACTTATTCTTCATTCTGGAGCACAGATCCAAGTTTCCTAAAGTGTGAATAAAAGCCTACTTTCAGTTACTTCAGCTGAGTACACTGATCTGTTGGTGCATTAGACTCAAGAAATCATTTCCTACTAGACCCAAGTACTATCAGAAGTAGTACTTAGCATTTCATAGTCAAGTCCAAAGAGAGGACTGTTGTCTGTTACAAAACCATTACAATTGGTAGGTATAAAGTTTTCATAGTCAGGAAAACCTAGAAGAAAAAGTTATAATATTTGCCTTTAGAATTAGAGATGGTTAAACATTACTCTTAGAATCATCCATGGAAAGCCGAAATACCACACTGGCTGGGCACATTCTCTAATGGTAGATACTTGAAATACAAAAATTAAATGAGACAGTTTCTGTCCTCAAGTTTTTCTCCATCTGCTCTTTTTTATATTCTGGGAGAATAATGTAGGCTGCTGTTACAGGAGGTACTAGGGCCGAGTTCTTGGCAATTACCAAGTAACAGTTTTTCCTCCTTATGAGAAGAGACTTGTGGCTAAATCCATCAAAGTCACTGGACCTTGCCCAGTAGACAAAGGAGCTGAAAAAATACACAAATAGCCAATAAACAAATGATAAGATGCTCAACATCATCAGCCATCTGAGAAATGCAAATAAAAATCACAATGAGATACTATTTCACACCCACTAGGATGGATATAATCAAAAAGACAGAAAATAACAAGTCTTAAGGACATGCAGAAATTGGAACCTTTATACATTGTTGGAGGGAATGTAAAATGGTGCAAGTGCTTTGGAAAAGAGTCTGGTAGGTCCTCAAAAGTTTAAACACAGTGTTACTGTATGACTCAGCAATTCACTCCTAGGTATATACCCAAGAAAAATGAAAACATATCCATATAAAAACTTTTACCTGAATGTTCATAGCAGCATTATTCATAATAGCCAAAAAGTGGAAATAATGCAAATGTTCATTAACTGATTAATGGATAAATAAAATGTGTATCTATACATGCAATTATCATTAAAATGAAAATAAAGTACTGACACAGGGTACAATATGGCTTAACCTTGAAAACTTTATGCTAACTGAAAAAAGCCAGTTATGAAAGACCACATATTATATGATTCCATTTATATGAAATATCCACAGCAGGTACAACTATAGACACAAAGTAGTAGGTTAGTGGTTGCCCAGGCCTAAGGGCGTTGGAGGAAAACAAAGTACAAAGTTGCTTTTGGGATAATGAAATATCCTAAAATTGATTGTGGTGATGGTTGTGAGATTGTAAATATACTAAAAACTATGTAATTGAATACTTTAAATGGATGAATTATATGGTTGATAACTGTATTTCAAAAGAACTGTTTATTTAAAAAAAGGAAATTTCACATCACTGCTATGATTAAGAGGTAATAAAGAAAACAAAGTACAATCAAAGAATTTTTATTGAATTCTTGCTACATAACTGACCAAAACTCTGAGCCTGGACCTGCTCTATTCATTAAAGAAAATGAATAGATGGGGTGGGAGGAAGATTAGAAGTACTGTAGATGTGTCAAAGACATACTGACTTCTTTTTAATATACTGAGGAACGAAAGAAAACTGAAGAAAGAGTAGCTTTCTCACTAAATATTTCACTGCTATTTAAGACCATGTTTAAGTACTACCTTTACCAATCATGTTACACATCCTGCACTTTAGAAAACACTACACCTAAATATTTCCTCATTAATAGAAGATGGAATAAGTCACTTGGAAAGCAGCCCCCAAAATGAACTTTCAACAGTAATATTTTTAATGAACTGCTGAATATTCTTAGATTGTTACCAACACCAGATTAAATCTAAACCAACCTTGTAATGGGAAATAAAATGTTTTCATTTCCTCCTTTGCGAGAAGGCATCTAGTCAAGCCCACTTTCTTAGAGCCATACTTCTGGATGATCGGGTCCTTCTGCAGATTGATGCTGACTTTTGAACTGGCAGAAAGTAAAGATCCTAAAACAGAAAGGACAATTGCACGAATGTTATAATGTGTATTTAAGAGACCTCAAGAGGATAAATCTCATAATGTTGTGTAGGGTAAGCACAGAACACCAAAAGATATATGTATAAGACCCAGTGCCAACATTTAAGTTGTAATACAGTTACAGGAAAACAAAGAGAAAATAAGTTCCAAATGGGTTATAATAATAAAAATTATAAAAGGGAAAGCAAGAAGACTCTACTGGCTGGGGTGGTCAAAGATGGTTCAAGAGAGGAAAAGATTAGCTGGGTCAAGAAGAAAAGGCTGAATTCAGATAGTTGATATATTATATCTGTCCATTCTAGTGTCTGTCACTCCTAACAGCCAGTTGTAGCTAAATCTACTCCACTCCTAGCTACTTGCTCAAGCACCAGCCTTCTCTTTAAGCAGGGGTGGTCACTGATTGGATTAAGAGTGGGGACCTGGCTTAAAAGTGACCCATTGATAAACTGACCAGTAACTTTGTCAAGACATGCTCAAAAGAAACAATGGAAATTAGCTAAACTGATTGCTTGCTTCCATAATTTAACTAGGAAATAAACTGACCAGTTAGAACAGAAAATAGAGATGCTGCCATGAAAGGGGTGGAGGACAGCTCTTCACTAGAGACACTTAGATTCATGAGGGCTTTCTAGTCCACATGCATCCTTCAATAACTCTCTTACTCTAGGTGGCCTGAGTGAGTGTCTGGTCCTTATAACCGAAAGAGCCAGTGTCATAAGTAGAAAAAAGGGCATTCCAGGTAAGACAGAAATGCACAAAGCAAACTTGGTATGGCAGTGACTAGACCAGTCAGGGAGAAATGAAGTTCTGTGTAGGGAAGTAGTGTAGGAAACAAGGTTGAGAAAGGAGGATAAATATGAATTACAGACCAATGTGAATGCCAGGCTCAAATGTTTGGATTTCAGTCCATCATTCAGTACATAAATGGAACAATGGAAATGGGAGAAAGGAAGTGGCATAACCAAACAATATTTTAAGGAAGATCAACCTCAAAGATATATGGAAAATGGAATAGAAAGAGAAATGAGAAAATGCTTTGCAGTAATTCTGGGAAAAAAAGTCTGGATTAAGATGGTGGAAGGGATAGAGGAAAAGAGACATATGCAAGAATCACTACACAAAGAAAAACTGTAAAGCATAGTGACAGAGTAATTCAGTTCTCTCAAAAAATTTTTTTACTGAGACTTATTATATGCCTGGCATTGTCCTAGCCATTAGAGATTCCCTAATGAACAAATCAACAAAATTCCCCATGAAACTTAAACTCTAGTTGGGAAGATGGACAATAAACAAACAAATATATATCAGGTGAGGATAAGGACTACCCAGAGAAAATAAAGGAGGGAAAGCTGGGGAGGGAAAAGGGTTACTGTCATACATTTTATAATCAGGGAAGCTCTCTCTGATAAAGTGAAATCTGAATATAGAGATTCACAGGAGCAAAGGTAATAAACCATGCAGGTTGTGTATAGGGAGCCAAAAGAAAAGTAATTCTAAAATCAAGTGTCTTATTGAAAAATGGCACCAAGAGAAAAGGAGATTTGGAAATGCGTGCCTGTTACTTAGGGATGATAAAAATGCTTTTAGCTATGTTATGATTGAGGTAACAGTGGACTATGCAAATAGCAATATCCAGCAGGCAGCTGAAAATGCAGGTCTGGAATCTGGGACCATCAGACCTAGAGACAAAGACATAGAAGTTATCCACTGAAGAGTGGTAGGTAGACTTGGGAAGAATAGGTGAATATTCCAAAGGGAAAACTAAATTAAAGGAAGATCAGAATGCTATAGACTTGCTTTAGAGACTTTTATATTTAGGATGGGAAAATGAAGGAAAATCCTAAAGAGGAAAGAGAGGTAGCCATAACCTGGCTCCTCAATGCCTACAGACAGCCTTAGCATGGCATTTACAGCCTGCAGGACACAGCTTTAACCTACCTTTCAGCCTTGTCTCTCACTACTACTTCCTCTTATTCTACCCCACTCCCCCAATCAATCCCAACAATTTATATTCTTCAGCCATATTCAATTGCTTTTTCCTGGTTATATCTTTCATTTTACAACTTAATATCATTACATGAGTTTTGAATCTTACAACTATTCTTTGATTTATTTGAAGATGTATAAAACACAGTGCAAATCAAATCAAACACTGCTATTGGTCAAATACGGGTATCTATTGGAAGAAGAAGAGAACAAAGGTAAGGTAGAAAAAGTTAGATGCCCCTGAGACAGAGAAGGAAGCACTGTCCTAGAGAAGGGAATGAATCAGTGATTACTCTGCATGGCTTTTTCATTTCTTCTCAGTGCAACTGTTCAATTACTTATTTCTCAACACAAAAAAAGCATCATTGGAATACTTACATTACTATAAGCAATGGACTCTAAGCTCTATTCTGTTCTATTACTCATCTCTTTCACCCCACTACCCAAAAAAACAGGTCAGCTATAACTTGCAAATGGAACACAACCAGTAGTTTGAAAAGCACTGCTATTATGGATATTTATCTGTTAGCTGGCCAGCATCTAAACCTCCTGCCTATTCCACTGTGAGCAGGATTAGTCAGTAACCCATACATTAGTCAAAGGCTAGACCTTCCTTCCCATCTGTACACTTGTGGGTTCAAAGGCCCAGTGACAGTTTAAAAATTATTCATGATATTCATAAAAGTCTAAAGTCTTTTTTTTTAAGGGCTCAGCCCTCAGCTATTTACTCTAACCACATGGTTTCTAAGGCATGAACCCTGGCTATGGTTCTTGATGTCTAATCTCTTTGAGTACTTAGCTTGTCTTTAAAACATTGCTTTTCAGCTTAAAGTAGTTAGAATTGAATTTTATTGTTTATAAGAATAAACTCAACTGACAAATCTACTTATAAGCATATCCATAATATTTTTAGAATAAGCAAATCATCAAACTACAGTCACAGTCATACCTTCCACCGACTTGGACAGAATCCCAGTTGTTTGTTTCTTTTGCAGCCCCCGATGATATGAGCTAGAAAATCAGATGATGGAAGAGACAAGCAGAATTTCTTAAAATCTGTAACAGGTTTCTACAAAAATGCTTGGAAGTAGTTAAAAAATTGTCAAAGACTTGTTCTTTTATTGTCAGCTCAGTGCTATGATAGGATTGGGCTTTAATCGTTTATACTGTAAAATGAGAGGTTTTCCTAATGTATAAAAGTCACTAGGTAAGTAAAGCCAAATTTATCCCTCCCAGAAATTTTCTTTGCTTCACTGATTACAAATTGTATGAAAGACAAACATTAAAGAAATTTGTAATTCAGAGAAGGAAAGACCCTTATATTTTTCAAAGTTCTTCTATATCTATTACTTCAGTGGACAGCATATCAGAAAGTTGGAACAGATGAAACAGCAAAGCAAAGTCTAAGACCTGCAGCCTCAGGCTCATCTGGGCTTATAGTCTACATACTAGCTATAATGTGGGCACATTACCATTTCCTTATGTATAAAATGGGAATAAAAAAGTACTGTTTACAGGACTATTGTGAGAATTAAAGAAGATGCACATAACATGATTGATGTTAAGGCTTAGCACGTAACTAGTGTTCAATAAATAGAAGCAAAAAAGAAAATGGAGACCCAAGGGATTAAATTAGCCCTACTAGCTCAAATGCCCTTAGGGGTAAATTGATGAACCAGTCTAATAAGGATGGAGGTGGCTCTGGGAAAATGGAGAGCACATCATGCCTCTTCTAAAGAAGAACGGCTGATGTTCAGCTCCAGATACTGTTCTATGGGTACCCAATCTTATGATGTGGTCAAAAGAGGCCAAAAATACAGATTTTATGTAAATTTTACCATTTCTAAAACACCATAGCCCAAACAAAATGACAATATCAACCTAGAAACTACAGATTACAATCTGGAATTAAGTGTTTTACCTAGATTAACAAAGGAAACCAGAGACAAATCTCATACATGTGTTCTCTGAATCTTACAACTTCTATTGCTTATTCCATCAGGTTGCCAAAGAGCATGATTTGACAGGTATACCAGTCTCTGGATGGGAGGACCTAACTCAGACCCTTATACAAAGTTTTCTTAACTTATGTGTAAAAATGTAGCTGACTCATTCCTTGCAATACAAAAACCACCATGTTGTTCAGGTGGTTTTGGTGAAAAAGCTGGCACCAGCTGTTGAAAAATCAAACCAACACAGCTAAGAGTCACACCATCAAGTCAGTCACAGGCATAAAGAAGGGAAGTATGAAAAAAAAGTAGTGAGGAACAGCTAATGGAATTTATTATAACTCACTGCCTGGAAACAGAGAACAGCTATTATTGAATAGAATTCAAATAAAGAGCTCCTGAGATAATTATTTATTGCATTCAAATCAAATGTGAAATGTAAAAATTTGTTTTTAATCAGAATTAAGCTCACCTTACAAAAGGCTCACCTTACACCTCAGAACCCTATCTGCTCTGCAGTCCTTTCTAAACCAGTAATCATAGGACTGGCTTCAAGAAAGTGATTTTGGATAAACTGAGAGACCAACAGCAATAACTGTTAATGCAGAAGATGGTTTTTGAGGTATCTAGCTAACCTCCCCCAGACAGATACATTCGTTTAAAAATCTCTTTATTGGTTCATATAGAGAAGCAATTTTGATTAGACATTTAATAATGGCATTTAGGGTATTAGAATAGTAATGTTCTCTTCACCCTTTATTTGTAAAAGGAAGAAAAAAGATTCATTGGGATTCTTATCATACAATAATGTTAATTCAACTGCGTCTCTACTGGGGGTTACAAACCAAAATACCTATAGTAGCCAGATACATAAATTTGGTGAGGTAAGTATGCAAATTATGGGAAGCAGGCCAGGTAAGCCACTTTTCAAGTTTGACAAATTGTTGCTCTGTGAGAATACAGGGACAGTTGCCAGATTACTGAGTTTTCAAAGAAGTCAAAAATATGGATTTTTATAAAGGAACTCTCAAATTAAATTGTTGACAATTACTATAAAAGAACATTCTATATGTCAAACAAATGTCAGTTAAGGCAGATATAATCCTTGGATACCAGTTTGAAAGCTCAAGTCTATACCCATCATTTAAGTTCATCTCGTACCTGGGTTTAGGAATACTGGATTTGCCCAGAACTGCAAAATGGAAACCCAAGGATCTCATATCTGGCATGGATTACTTCACAGTTTTCAGCAAATAAGATGGTAGATAAGCAGGCTTTCTGCAAAGATAATCAGGGCATAACAAATTAATGTTATTGAGAATACAACAAAGCAAGACAAATTATTAAAATATTCTAGTTTCTGATTATTTTGGCATTAATCCAAACACATGGAGGTGTCTGAATAATTAGAAATGAATATCTAAAACAATAACCTTGATATATTATCAATGGATTATTAATAAAAACTGATACAGAACGTTAATTGTAGACACTAGGACATGCTAGGGAAAACAGGAAGAATAAAATATGATTCATGTTCGCAAGCAGTCCATTCTACTAAAGGAAAGAATTAGGTAATTCCAAAACAATAGGGGTTAAGTGCTATTATACAGATACAGGAGCAAAACTGCCTTGGGCATGACTTTGGGATAGCTTCATTGAGATGAAAATACTGGGGCTGATCCTTGAAAATAATAAGTTAGCCAGATAAGAGTGAACATTGTGTCTAAACATGAAGTTTAGTTTGGCAGGAACCAAACCACTTTGCAGAGCAATGAAGATATGAGAGGAGAGAAAAGTAAAAGCCAGATCATAGGAAGAGCTACGTGGTCTAAGCTAAGGAGTCAAACTTTATTAGTTCACTGAAGCTCCTCCTTTCCTTAAAATAATTTGGCATCTGGTTATTAAAGTAATTTTCATGCTTGGTAAGAGAGTCAGGTAGTAGAGAAAGGTTAAGTAGATAAAAGACAACAGATAAATGAAAATAAAAATCACATGTACTTGTACAACTCAGAGATAATTACTGCTTTCATTTTGGTCTGGAAGGCTTCATACTATAGTGGTTAGGAGCTCAAGCCCTGGAGTCATACTACCTGAGTTCAAACACCCATCTGGACAAGCGCCTTAACCTCCAAGGCTCAGTTTATTCATCTATAGAGTAATTATAATTCTACCTCATGAGGTTATTGGGAAGACCAGTGAGATGGTACAAGTGCAGTGCCTTGTATAAGAGACTAGTGCCTGACATACATAAGTACTTTAAAAACATCACATATTATTATTACTGCTATTTTTCTCATGACATTTTAAAGCTTATATTCAGCACCATTAGCATTTACAGTTCTGAGCACTTTATATCTACTAAGTCACTTAATTATTACAAGTCTTAAATGGGTGCTGATTTATCACCATTTTACAGATAAAGAAATGGAGGAACAGAAAAGCGGCAGAACCAAGACTGGAATCTTCAGGCTCCGAAGCCCAAGCTTCATTTCTATATCACCCCCAAGGGATTATAGTACACATTCTGTTTGTAACCAACTCCCCCAACCAAAAAAAAATACCTTCCCATATCAGTTACATATAATGACTACCAATTTTAATAGTCCATTCTCTTAAATTTACCTAAAAATTTGTAATTTATCTGAAAAATTAGTGTATGTAAGAAATATACACTAAAATATGATGGAGCATTGTGTTAGCAACTACTTTCAAATGTTGCCTTGGGGTAATTTTTGGTACTGTTCTTTCAACTTTTCTGCAAATTTGAGATAATTTCAAAATAAAGTGATTACATTGTCAATTTCCTTACACTTTTTACCACATTAACCTTTAAAAATTGTTTTGCCAATCTGACAGGCAAAAAAACCTCATAGCAGTAATTCCCTTCTAATATACTACAAGTATCCCCGACTTCAAAAGTCCAGTTATGCCACTTAGCTTTTCCAAAAGACATTAGTACTGTACCTTTTCTGCCAACCAAAAGAAAGCCAAAGAGGATATTCACTTTTATGAAAAAAGGCAAAAAGAGAATAGCATTCAGTATTTGTTTTGCAGCAACCCCTATAGAGGCAGCATACGCCCTGAACAACAGAGTGGCATCGCCAAGCTCCTCCCCTGGGAACTACACTTAGTATCTCAGCATCAGGTCATCATAGTTTTGAACTGTATCTCTGACCATCTGCTTTACCTTAAATTGTTTTGTGCCTCTTCAGCAAGATGTTTTATGGTATTAGAAAAGCCTAAAAGAGTTTATTTTTTGCGTCTGGAAACACTCCAAAAATTTTCCATAGAAATTAATGGTAACTGTTTCTTCACATTATACCATTTCAGCTTAGGAGAGGTTTCACTGAACACTCTACTTTCGGATAGTGGGGGAAACTTGTATATAATTTATCATATCTACTTATCTTCAATCTCTCCACTGGAAATATGCAATGATCATAGCTTATTCCCTTAATACTCCAGTGCCTAGGACATTGCCTAACACATGGCAGACAACAGAAATCTGATGACTCAAGGGATGAAAGGCATATATTTGGCTCTGAATAAATGGTAGGGATGACCATTGCCCTATCAGAATATAAACTGCAGGAGGGCAGGGGAAGTTTGTATTTTTGTGCACTGGGATATCCCTAAAACCTAGAACAATTTCTGGCACACAGACGAATTTCAATAAATATTTAATCAATGAACACTCTTCTTGTGTGCCAGGCACCATACCAGTTTTAACCGCCAGTATCAGCCCTGAGGTAGGTGGTATTATATCATCATTTCCATTTCACACATCTGAGAGGTCAGAGGGGTGGTTGGGCCTGACAACGTCCAGGGTGAAGAGGGGCCATGAAGGTGGCTGGGACGAGGGTCTGGGAGCGCCACGCATCCTCGGGCCCCGCGTTGCACCTTGACCTCGGGCTGCCTCTCCTCAAGTTTCCTACAGGCTGTCTTAGCCTCAGCCGCCCCGACCAGCCTGTTCGGGGCCCGCCTCCTCTTCCTGCCTTTCTTGAGGTGCCTCCTGGTCCTTTCTGTCTCTGGCTCCATGAGGCTGTGGAGGATATGCCAGACTAAGAAACCCACGCGCCCAGATTCCCTGGCCCGGGCCGTCTCCTGACGGGGCTGCAGCAAGGGCTTCGACAGCCTACAACCCCCCTCAGCTCCTCGCCTCAATTCAGATTACACAGCGCTACCCCGCCCGCCCCGAATGACGAAGGTACCAGCGATCTTCCCGGTTCCGCAGCGGAGATAACCACGCCCCCCGCAGCCAAACGGCGCGCGGTTGGACGGATTCGAAACGGTGTCCAAACTGCGAAAACGTGCTTCTGCCCGTTGTAAGAGAGCAAAGGAGCGCTGCCAAGCGGCTTCACCGCCAAACACTACTCCCACGTCTCCGATCCCCTAAAACGCCGAGAAGCCGGGTGGAGAACGCAGGTGCTACTGGGGGAGCCCCCACCGCCTCAGCCTCAGCCGCGCCGGCCGTTTGAACCGACCGGAAGTGCGCGTCAAGAGACTTCCGGCAGTTGAGTCGTGGAGAGAAAGGAGTGTCGGCAATGGCGACCAAGAGGTTGGCACGGTATGCGAGGGGCTGCCGGCAGGGAGTCGCCCTTGGTCTGGCGCTGGTGGCTATAGCGCGGCTAGGCAGGGATATTCGCGGTGTCAGCCTTCATTCTCTGCAGCCCCAGCGCCTCCGACCTGCTGTCTCTGGCCTGGGCTGAAAGGTCTCTGGCTGGACCTCTGTCTATAGCTTTCTACGCGAGAGTGGAAGGACCAGGGTTCTCGACTCTTGAGTGAGCCGGTGTCGGCCCATTCTAGGCCTCGCGAAATGATAGGACGTGACAGCGCCAGATAGGCTGTTAGGCGGTCTCAGGCAGTCCCCACCGCACCCGTCAAGCTGTTAATCCCCCCCTTACCAGGGAACCGTTTAATTCATGACGTGAATCCTTAAAAACCTTTTCCCTGATTTTAAGAAACGCCGTGCACATTTCTGGTTTCTAGAAGTGTTAGTGAATAGCGTGGGCTTCGGCGTTGTATAGGCCTGGTTTCACATAGCAAATCTGTGTGCTTTGGCAAATTACCGAATCCTTTTACTTATCCATAAAGTACAGATAGCGAAAGTGACTATCTCGTACAGTTGTTGAGGATTAAATGAGATTATCATCTAAACTCAGTGCTTGCTACATATATAGTAAGCAATAAATAAATGTTAGCTATTATTCCCAGCTCCTGCACTTCCCATCGCACCGTCTTAAAAAAACAGGATGTACTATCTGCCTGGGTAAACTCTACCTAATATACTCACTTAAGACCTCAGTAAGCTCATCCTTTTCTGTAGACTCCTTAGCCTATTGCCTTTGGGGATCCTTTATCATATATCACCTTACTGTGGTTTACCATGGATCTAGTTTCTTTATCCAAGTATCTTAAGCTCCTGAAAGACTGGACCTGCCCTATCTCCTCAGAACTGTGCTGTTCAACAGAGCAAAGACTCAAAAAATGCAATGGCAAAAATAACTTAAGTTTTTCAGTGTATCTTTACAGTAACTTGAGTTTCTCAGTTTTACTGTAAAATAGGGAGCAAAAAGGATTAGGGTAAATTTGCAAATCTGTACTTTGTATGGCCCATGCAAGTAAAATGACTACTAAAATCAAAGAGAGTGGCTGTTAATACAAGCACCAAGGTATTTGGTTCTCAACGTCTAGTTCAATTTCCTCTCAATCACAATACATATGTTAGCACCTTAATAATAAGGGTTATGCCATTAGTTTGTTAGCCTATTTAAACAGGAGTGTGAATGTGTTTGTTGAGCTTATTGGGTTTTTCTACATTTTTAGGCAGCTTGGATTAATTAGGAGAAAATCAATTGCATCGGGAAATGAAAATCTAGGAAGAAGCAAATCCAGTAAGTGGTGTGCTTAGTTTCTTTGCCTTTTGTAGCCTTGCACTTTAAACTCTAGGAAAGCATAAGGATGCCCTGATCTTTTGCAGACCAGTTGTTTGACTACTTAATCATCATTGATTTTGAGTCGACATGTTGGAATGATGGGAAACGTCACCAGAGCCAGGAAATAAGTAAGTCTGGACTGCCCGTGCTAAAGCTAACACCAGTTGAGTCACTTTAAGGTTTATAGATATAAACCAGTCAATAGTTAAAGAAAATAAGGTCGTCCACAAATTGGCAGTTTACAGTCAAATTTGATTTGACAAAAAAGAACAAAACCAATATCTAAGTATGTCATATAAAATAATTGTTCTAGGACTACATACAAATCTCAATTGTATAGAAACTGGAAAAAATACCTTTGCAAAAAGGAGTACATTCCAACTTCCAAATGGCCTTCATATTAAATTGTGGAAATATGTTCAAGAGTTTTAGGTAGATGTACTCATTAATATTTTGACTTGTTCTCTGGTGTAATTTTATTATAACCATTGCATCACACCACTTTGTCATTTTTAAATGCTTTTTACTGGAATAATTATTGTTCAGTAATGTCATATGGCAACATATGTTTAATTTAGACTGATTACAGCATTAGTTTACCAATTATATGTTCAAGTGTCAATTGATTCTTTCATATAGTTGAATTTCCAGCAGTATTGCTGAACACATCAACTGGAAAGATTGAATCTGAGTTCCATGTTTATGTTCAGCCTGAGGAACATCCAATTCTTTCTGAATTTTGCATGGAACTGACAGGCATAAAGCAGGTATGTCCACCTCGCTGTCACCCACCCCATCCCCCAACAAAAAATAAGCAGATATGATACAAGTATTAGAATTCAGAAATCATTACAAAAAGTAAATAAAAGCTACATACCATTTAGAATTAAATTTATTCACTGTTAGTGGAAATAATGTCCCCTCCAGAAGTCCATTGGAATCTTTAAAAATTAGAAAGAATACTGTTGTAAAAATGAATATAAAATATCAAATGTCTGTCCATCTTGATTTAATTATTATATTTCTGTGTGATTTTACATTGATCAACCTACCCTTGCAGAATTCTAATCATTATCTCGCTCCCATGTATCTTACTTTTCACTTGATAAAGTCTTGCCAGTTAGAACCTCTTCTTTGTATATCCCCCCACGATACCTAATTATGTGCTCAGGAATTGTGGGATACAGTTGTTAAATTCATATTTTATAACTGTTTAGGTTCAAGTTGATGAAGGAGTCCCATTGAAGATTTGCTTGTCTCAGTTCTGTAAATGGATTCAGAACATTCAGCAACAGAAGAAAATTATTTTCACTACTGGGGTTTCAGATCTTTCTACTTCTGAAGTAAAATTATGTGCATTTGTTACTTGGTCAGGTAAAAAAGAAGTTATATCTATTAATCATAAATGAGTAGTATTACCACCATGTAATTCTTTATCTCCAGTAAGAATTATACCTGTTAACCTCTTGGGCCACAAAAAGAAATCTAAGTCTAGCAGATGTTAACCAAGAAAAGTAAATTTATTCGTATTTTTAAAATTACCATTCTGGGATACCTTAAAATTTTAAGCTCTAACTTCAAGAATCTTCCTAGACTGTACCACTGTTCTGAATCCAGGCAAGAATGATTTATTTAGAACACTTGTTCTGTTTTCTACAGCCTTGAATAAAAGGAATCCTCATTAAACTCACATCCTTTGCTTTTATACTTTCAAACTTAATAATGTACACATCAAGGAAAAAATAGGCCATTAAAAGTACATTTTTCTGTGCCTGTGATATAGCATTGCCATTAACAGTCATTGATAGCAATACTGTGCCATTGATAGCATAGCATTGATGGTCATATTTGGTTTCAGGTTGCTATAAGATGCTTGGCTTCTTATATTTTCCTAGAATGTTTAAAATAGATAACCTTCTCCCTATAGACCTTGTAATTGAACATCTTCTTCTTCTTCTGAAATATTAGTGTTTTATTTGGTGTTTAAGGTCATTTTGAAACTTAGTTACCAACCTAATTGCTTAATAGTTATGTAAAGTGAGTGATTGTTAGATATTAGTAAAGCAATTAAATCTTATTGTGCTATTATATATTATATACTATATATAGTATATAGTACACTATAGCATATATTATATTATTAAGTATAATATATGCTATTATATATTATTCTAAGCCTTGCTATTCTATTTTATATCATCTTTCAGCATTTTATTATAAATGATGATAGCATAAGTAAAAACTGCTGGCATCATTGCCTTTGTTCTGTTTTAATATACTGAATGCAGATTGGGACTTGGGAGTTTGCCTGGAGTATGAGTGTAAAAGAAAACAGCTGTTAAAACCTGTGTTCTTAAATTCTTGGATTGATCTCAGAGTAACTTACAAGGTAAGGATCAAAGATAGGGGCATATTCACTGTCGTTCATTGAAAATGATTAAACTATCCCACATGGGTATGAGTTTCTACAAATAAAATATTTTCTTTTGATATGTTCATATAAATACATTTCTTAAAATATTATAAAAACAACATAACAAAAATAAGCGTACTCCAAATCTGATTGAACCAAAAATGATAAAAAGTAAGTGGTTATACATAGCCTTTCAAATAGTCATTTTTTTAGATATGTCTTCTTTGATTTGATTAGATTTTCTATAGGAGAAAACCAAAAGGACTAACTGGTGCCCTGCAGGAAGTAGGAATAGAATTCTTGGGACGAGAACATTCTGGTTAGTATAAATTGAAAATCACTTTACTTTTATAGAGGCTCTCATATGAATCTCATTTTTTGTGATGTCATTAATAAGGAATATCCTCCTGCCTAAAAAAGGCTCCAAACATATATAATTCATATTGTTTCTAAGACTTTCAAATGACTATTTTCATAAAGTATTCTAAGATAAAGACTGTCATCTCATGGCTTTCTAATTGCTAAAATGAATGAAAAGAATTGGCCATTTCAAATGGAGATAAACAAAGGCCCAAATAATACAGTGGACTAGTGAAAGACAATGAACAAGACTATTATGTTACTCACAAAACATGGTCCCTACAGAATGTTTGTCACATTTTGTAAACTGCCTGATAAATTTTCACCTTCTCCGTAAATGTAGGAGATCTTGTCTTTCCTTGGTAAGGCTGCCACAACTTTCTACAAGACCAGTTTATCATCATTAAAATTAGTGGATGGTCATAAAACTAACAGTATGTTCCAATTTCTATTTAAGTGGTAGATTTTGGGGGTGGAGAGGGCAGGTTGTTTTTTTGCTATTTTTTTTTTACACTGCTACCACTAAATTCAGTGTTTGATACCTATTTATTCAGGGTTGGATGATTCTCGGAATACTGCCCTTCTTGCTTGGAAAATGATCAGGGATGGTTGCTTAATGAAAATTACAAGGTCCTTAAACAAGGTTAGTGGCATCGTGCCTCTTTTTTCTGTCATCTCATGCTCTAGAAGTAAGCATGAGTTCATTGAAATGCAGACATCATGTGTGTAATCATTTATAAATCAATCAATGATGACATTTTTCTTTTTTGTTGTATCATGTAATGGGTACTAAAGAAATTGTGAAAGCACAGTTTCTAAAGCTGTTGGATTTGTCTGTGGAATTATAGGTTCCCACTAAGAAGAATCCCAACATTTTGGCCAGAAATTTGAATATGAATCAAGTTGAAGAAACATCAGCCTACACCAGTAGCATTCAGCGTCCCGGCACACATGAAAGGGAGCCTAAAAATACAGAAAATTCTCATGAGAAAGTTGAAATGAGGTCAGTTGGTGTAAATTCTCCTATAAAGGTACAGCAAGATCAGTTGCAACTACAAAATAATAAAAAAGCGGGTCTTGACAATGTCAAAAGCTGTTTATCTCTTTTTAATACTAAGTTCTCTACTTCTCTGGGGCAGTTGCAGTCTCCGAACTCCAATGCATCTATTCAGAAGCAAATAAAAAATGAGCATCTTGCATTTAATACCAAAGCTAAGTCTTCAACAAATAGTTCAGAGTTTGTACTTGTTTCAACTACCATTTCATCGGCTAATCATGTTTCTGATATGGAAATGAGTTCCGCTCTTGACTGTTTACCTATGTTGGCTGATTGGGAGGATATAGCTTTATTGCCAGCATCTCAGCCTGAGCAAAATTTAAATTCTATACCTCCCATTAGTGACTCAAACTTAGACCTTTCATTTAGATCTGGAGGAAGAGTAATGGGTTTAAAAGAATCTGAAATGTTAAGTCATGAAAACATTGGAGGCAGGGAAGAAACTCCTCAAAAATCTGAGACCTCTAAGTCTATTGCATATAAGAGTCTACATACTACTATTTATGAAGGAAAAGAAGTCCAAGATCCAAGTTCAGATGTTTCTGTCTTTAAATTACCTAAATGCAAATCAAGTAGCTTCAACAATATGCCTTACCCTTCAGTTTTGCGGACTCATCAGCTACTTCTAGGTGGTACTAAAAGGAATCCATCCAGTCCCCCAGCTTTCCCAGCAGCAAAAAAACAGACCTTTACTATTCATGAAGAAAAGCCTACATCATCTAATGGCTCCCCAGTGAAAATTTCTTCCCCAAAGATTGCCCCCTCTATTTTAACTTCTGTAGTTAATCTACAAGACCCTTGGAAGAGTGGGAAAATGACGCCTCCTTTATGCAAGTGTGGCCGAAGATCTAAGAGACTTGTTGTTTCTAATAATGGACCAAACCATGGCAAAGTCTTCTATTGTTGCCCTATTGGGAAATACCAAGAAAAAAGAAAATGTTGTGGTTATTTCAGATGGGAACAAACACTTCAAAAGGAAAGAGCCAGCAACATAGTTCTGCCTCATTCCTCAGGGGGACTCACTTCTAGTACTCTAGAAACAAGCCATAGTTGTGACAGAAATGTATATTTTTCTACTAAAAATTCATTGAGACTCAGACCTTCAATGAGGAACTGATAAACTTGCTTTACATCTGAACTATGTTTTTACTTTAATGTGACTTTTAGTGTGGTGAAAAGAAAAAAAAATGTATAGGGCTACAAGTTATGAGGACTTAGTATATCTGAGTTCCATAGACCACAATGGGCTATTACATTCATACATGCACACACTGAAAAAAGAGAAAAATTACATTTCACAGCTTCTAATTTCATTCACCAGTTATCTGAAACATTTGTCTTCTGTTCATGTATGAATCCTGATTGTTCCTTAATTCCCAAACTTTCTAAGTATCTTGGTGTCTTAACACTGTTTTATTTATTTTTCATATATTATCATTTGCCAAATTTATCATACTTTTTTGAACCACAAATGATATATTTTATAAACTATTTATTAGATTAAATACAATAAGCAAAAATTGTATATGATACCTTTTTTTACAGTTAGACCTTAAAATAAGACTTAAATTATTTTTAAGTTATTTGAATAAAAGTGTGACTAATAAAAATCTGTAGCCTTTTTAGGTAGATGCTTGTACTTTGAAAATTATGATAATCTTCTGATATTTTAATTTTTCTAAAAACTTTTATAAGTTTTTTAGTTTTATTCCAGTGCTTGAAGATTTGTCCTGATTTGTCTATCAACATAGCAAAAGAATTATACAACTATGATTTGAAAATCAACAGATCAGAGATTTGGTTCAGAAACTGCTTCTGTACTGTATATTTAAATATCTCAGCTATTAATGGTATTCTTTTTATATGATCAAAATTATAAGAACATTGACAGTAATGCAGAGTTTACTGGCTTTTATTTGAAAATTCAGTCTCTGATGTTATAACCATATTTTTTAAATCAATAGTTTATAAGCATACTATCATTTTTAATGACCTCTCTACAGTCTTACGGTTTTTACAGAGTCTTTGTTTTATAGATATTGCAATAATTAATAGAATGGATTTAAATTGTTTCCCATTCTTTCTTCCTCAGTTCATTTCTTTTTATCTTCCCACTGACAGTCTTTGGCAGCTCTTGAATAAATTCTACCTGTTGATATTAAGAGAAGAAAGTTAGCCTGTAAGTTTTCATCTTTAGATAAAGTCAATTCTGTAGCAGTTCTATTATGAACTCTAGGTGAAAGATTTAGGACACCCACTGGGGTGGGTATTTGGTAACAACCAAAAAGGGAGAGAGATACTGCTGAGATTTTTCTTGATAGTTAGTATTTATTTACAAGTCTGGTGAGCTAAATGACCCAATCAAGAGTTTCATTTTAATTGCAAAGATTCTGATTCAGCTCCATGTCATTATTTCAGTTTTGGAACATTGAGTGTGTAGCATGTTTGAGGAGAATGTTCATTAAAATGGGGAACAAAAACAGCTGAAAATCTCCAGAACCTATGAAGCAAATAGGCATCATAATTAGAATACTTACCTTTCTGGGATATTTGTAAGGTGCTGTGGTTCTTTTTACATGCTCCTGAATCTCCTTTTTCAGTCGTTCTTGATCATGTGACTTATAATCAGCATTCAGAACAATAAAAGCCTTTACAACCTGAAATAAATATTTGACATACCAGGAGGATGAGTTGTGTATTTTTATGTTTTAGTGTATCTTATTTGTTCTCTCAGGGGATCTAAGCTCCTGGTGGGATGGGCTGGAAGGGTTTAATAGGGTTTGATCCTAGCTCTATGCTTTTAAGTGAGCCAGTTGACTCCCACATTTCTGTATCTAATACAGGGGAGTCTCTGGGACCTCTGCTTTGTTCATAATATACACTTGGGCTGTCTCATCTAACTACATTTTGAACTCTACTTCCTGACCTGTTTCTGATCATCTCTACTCTTGACTTGCCTCATCTTTTTATCTCCTTCAAAAAGTTTCCTTTTGGAAACCTGGCAGTGCACTAAACACAGTCTTCTGTGTAACAACCCGGCCTGATCTAGCCTAGTCTCTAGTGTGGCCCTTATAAACAGTATTCATCCTGGGTTTGCCATATCCTTGTTAAAGAATACACTTCAATGAGACCATACAATCTTTATTTCAGAAACACTTATGTTGATGCAAAGCTGTGAAGATTACAAGTTACTTTGCTATTTCTCTCACCCACTTACCAGGGCCAGAGGAACAAGAGTAGAAGTAGTGGTGGCCCTCACTCTCTAACTGGCAGAAGACAGGAAAGACTTCATCACTTTATGCTCACACAGTTCATCCTTCCTTGAAATGTTTTGGAAAATCCTGCCCAGAGTTTTTGGACCTATAATGGAGAAGACAGAAGGCCTTCCCTCATATGTAGCCCCTTCAAGAGACTATTGGGATTCTAAATGTCTGTCCTGCAGGCACTGCCAGCACTGCCATTCATTGCCTTCCCTAGACCCAGGACTCTAGGTGAGTCACCTAGTGTGTACCACCAAATCCAAACTACCAGCCCAGGGTTAGTCATGGAGTGATGCCTCCTTGCAGGTAAAAATCCAGGAGAATCTCCTGCCACTTATACGATTAAATATCCTACACTGAAGAGGCTGAGATATTACTGAATTCATGGATTCATGAATCCAGCTTAAAGATAAGCTGGCAATGTTAGCTATCTACATTGGACTGGGAGTAAATATTTGATTGAAAAAGAATTGCTTAAATCACAGAATGACCAATTAGTGAGAAATGAAGACTTGCAGTTACAAATTTTTTGTATATTGATCATTGTTTACCACTGAGCAATTTTGACAGCATTTTATGAGCAGTTATCCATTTTTGTCTTTACCAAAACCCCTTAAAAATTTCTAATTTACATGTCCTACAGAAAGTTGTACAACCGTGTGTGTGTGTGTGTGTGTGTGTGTGTGGATGTATATAGTTTTATCTCACCCTTTTTAAACATTTCATTAAAATTTATTTTTATTTATGCCTCCTCTGCTACTTTAACATTTTTTAAATTAAAAAAAAGTCTTTGTTGTAAGTGAATCCTTCAGAGACAAATTATTTTAAGAATTAATGTTTTTAATTACTGGTTTGCATATTGATGACTTCTGCACTTTGGATAAAGTCTACTTTATCTTTATAAAAGTCTATAAACCATTATGGAAAATGAAAAGTTAACTAGGAACAACCTAATATCGTTAAAAGCATGAACACTGAAGTAAGACATCCTGGGTTCAAGTCACACTTTTTTGTGTAATCTTGAGCAAGATAGGTTGCCTTTCTGTGCCTTGGTTTCCTTCTCTGTAAGAAGAGGTTGTGAGGATTAAATAAATTAACATAGGTGTGCAAAACTGAAGGAACAAAATAGCAGCAGATGCAGAGACTCCAAGAAGGAACTAGTGGTTACCAAAGGGGAGGGGTGTGGGAGGGTGGGTGGGGAAGGAGAAGGGGATTGAAGGGTATTATGTTTAGTAAACATGGTGTGGGGGATTGTGGGGAAAACTGTAGCATAGAGAAGGCAAATAGTAAATCTGTGGCATCTTACTACACTGATGAACAGTGACTGCATTGGGGTATCAGTGGGGACTTGATAATATAGGTAAATGTAGTAACCACATTGTTTTTTCATGTGAAACCTTCATAAGAGTGTACATCAATAATACCTTAATAAAAAAATTTTTTAAAAAGCTACTTAAAGTAATAAAACATCTCTACTTGCTAAAAAAAAATAATTAACATAGGTGTATGGCTTACAACAACACCTGGAACATACTAAGTCATCAAAAACATTAGGTATTAGTTGTAGTATAAGAGTTTTTTTAATCTAAAATCCATAAGTGGATTCAAAATTTCTCTGAAATTCTATGCAAAATTTAACATTTGTATGAGGAAAATGTTATGCTATTCAATATGGCAGCTGCTATCCACATGTAGCTGTTTATATTTAAATTAATGGAGATAAAAAATAAAATTTACAGAGATACACTAGTCACATCTCAAATGTTTAATTGCCATGGAATGGCTGTTGTATTGGATGGTGCAGATATAGAACATTTCCATCATTGCATAAATCCCATAGTGCCCTAGGGCTTTTAAATTCCAAAGAGCTGTGTGATCCAAAAAAATTCAGGAATCCAATAACCTAGACAAATATTTTTCAGCTCTTTATTTCACATTGCAATATTAGACTAGTATTTAAAATCTAATGTTCTTTTCAGAAGTAACAACAATAGCAGTCATCCATTCCTTTATCCCTTTTGGAAGTTTTATCTTTTAAGAAAGCATTGTAAAAAGCACACATTTTGGAGGAGGAGCCAAGATGGTGGCATGAGTAGGACAGCAGAAATCTCTCAAAAACATGTATTTTTGAAAATGTGACAAATACAACTATTCCTAAAAGAGAGACCAGAAGATACAGGACAACAGCCAAGCTACATCTACACCAGCGAGAAACAGCGCTTCACGAAGGGCCTAAGATACAAGCCACAGCCTGGTGGGACCCAAATGCCCCTCACCCCAGCTCCCAGCAGGAGGAGAGGAGTTGGAGCGGGGAGGGAAAGGGAGCCCAGGACTGCTAAAACCCAGCCGTAGACATCTCCACTGGGAGTGCAGACACACAGTGCGTGGTGTGCTGGATACTAGGGAAACGGGACAGTAAAATTTGCGAGCTGCTCCCCACTGCCAGCGCCCCTGGGACAAAGAAAAATGAGTGCTCTCTGAAAGTCTTAAAGGGAAAGGGGCCTCACAGCTGGACAAAAGCGTCCCGGCGCACTAAGCCCAGCAGCTGGGATTCCCAGGGAACTCTGGGCACCCTAACCCCGTGGGCGGCAGCGCAGCGTGGAGGCCCCTCACGGCGATAAACACCATCCTGCCCATTCCCCCTCTGGCCACGGCCCTGCCACGGCAGAGCACCGGCCAGAGGCCAGCCACACCCACAGCAACTGCGTGGAGCTCCACAGTGGTAGGGCAAGAATCAGAGACCCCGTCTGAGTGCAACTGCACACCACAAGCCACTAGGGGTCGCCATTCTCCCAGGAGAGGAACACGAGGAGCAAGCAGGAAGGGATTTTGTTCTCCCAGCTGACGCATGTGCCATCTGCCCATCGCTATGAAAAGTCAGAAGAATTTCATTCAGACCAGAATCATACAGACATCCACCCCTGAGAGGGAACCTGGGGAGATAGACCTAACCAATCTTCCTGAAAAAGAATTCAAAATAAAGGTCATAACTATGCTGATGGAGCTGCAGAGAAAAATGCAAGAGCGAAATAGGGAGAATACAGAAAT